ATTTCTTTGAAAGTTATTCAATAATTTTTTAGAACAAAATTATTAGTCAATCATTATTTGAGCAGTCAAGCACCAAAGAAACTTATAAACAAAAATATACAAATAGGATAAAGTAAACCTTCAACATGTTCATCACCCCCCCCCCCCCCCCCCCCCCCCCCAAAAAAAAAAAAAAAAAAAAAAAGAGAGAGAGAAAGAAAAGTAAACATTTTTGTTATTAATCGCATAAGTCATAGATTCAATAACAAAATATACATACAAAAGAGAGACCCCAAAAAAAAAAAAAAAAACCCTAGGAACTCCATAATCCTTTTCATTCATGGATCTTCTAAGAGCCCATAATCATTTCCATCATCCTCATTGGTAAATAGTACGACCTCCAAATCTGGTTCATCAAGAGAAAGATTTTCAATCTCAAGTATTTAACTACCTTCCAAGGAATCAAGGGTGGTAAAGTTACGTTAGTGAAAAGCGTCTTGTCAAGCCTTCCAATGTATTTCCTTTCGCTCTTTCGGGTTCCAGCCTTCGTTGTTGGCCGTCTGGAGATGTTACAACGAAACTTCCTTTGGGGGGATCGTGGAGAGGAGTTTAAGTATCATCTGGTCAGATGGGAGCAGGTTTGCAGGCCTTTTCAGTTGGGCGGCCTTGGGATTAGGAGATTGGCCCCCTTTAACAGTGCTCTCCTCGGTAAGTGGCTTTGGAGATTTGGCAGTGAAAGGCATAGATTATGGAGAAGGGTTATTTCCTGTCGCTTTGGGGAGGAGAGAGGGGGGTGGTCAGCTAGGCCAGTCAGGTCTGCTAGTGGAGTAGGGGTGTGGAGGGCCATTGGAAAAGGATGGGACGAGTTTTCCAAACATGTTAGATTCAAAGTTCGGGATGGAAGGTTTGTCCGGTTTTGGGAGGATCCTTGGTGCGCGGATAGGCCTCTGGCTCTTTTGTTTCCAAGGCTGTTCAGGATTGCTGTTGACAAACATGATATGGTTGCTAACTGCTATCGCCTTGATAGCGGGAGGTTATCTTGGCATGTGCGATTCCGGCGATCTTTTCAGGATTGGGAGTTGGATGATCACTGGCTTGTTGGCTCTCTTGTACAGACAGGAGGTGGAGGGCACTGGTGTTGACTCCCTGTTTTGGGTGCACTCTTCTTAGGGGATGTTCCAGGTCCGGTCTTTTTTTGTATGCCTTTCTGGTTTTCATGGCGCTTCCTTCCTGTGGAAGATGGTGTGGTTGTCTAAGGCGCCTCTTAGGGTGGCCTTTTTCGTGTGGACTGTAGCTTGGAGCAAGATTTTGACTTCGGATAACTTGAGGAAGCGAAGACATATTATTGTTAATCGGTGTTGTCTTTGTAAGTTGAATGGGGAGTCAGTGGATCACCTGTTGCTACATTGTCCTGTGGCTCATGATTGTTGGAGTCTCATTTTTGATTTGTTTGGTATTCATTGGGTTATGCCTTGGACATCTCGGGAATTGCTGGATATTTGGAGGGGCCAATGGGTGGGGGCTCAGGCGAGAGTCTTCTGGAGGGTAACCCCCTTTTGTGTTTGGTGGAGCATTTGGAAAGAGTGGAATAGAAGATCTTTTGATGGGAAGGAGTCCTCCATTGGGCTGTTGAAATTCTCTATTATTTGTACTCTTTTTTGTTGGGGTTGGGGGAGAGATTTTTCCTCCATTGAAGATATTGTGGACTTTTTGGGCCCCTTGAGATCATAGTTTCAGTTTTTTGTATAGCTTGGGACGCATTCCCCTTTTGAACGCCTTTTAATACATTTTACTTATCAAAAAAAAAAAAAAAAAAATATTTTGGAGTTTTTCTTGATAAAAAATGAAGATTGAAATGTACAAATACTAAATCTTTGGCTCTTTGTGCTGTTATCTTGTTTCTCTTTAAAGAGTATTTGCTCCATTTCTTCTCATAACAGGTGGAAGAACAAGGAAGCCAAGTACCTTCAAAGCCAAAATTGGACTAGGGGTTGCCGAAGCTCCATAGAAAACCCACCAATTTGCTGTACCAATTTGCTCTATTCTTTAAGGAATCAACTGATGCAAATTCTTTACTACTCGCTGAAAAACAAGTGTACTCATCTTTTGCCTTTCTTCTCTCCTCTGGATTAATAAAGAATCTTTGGAAGCATTTTTCTCTTGAACTTGAAATCTCTTCATCCTGATGTGGAGGAACACGATTGGGAGACTCTTGATTCCATTGCGAGATATAAAACCTACAAGTGGAAAAATCACAGTTAAAATTTAATTTGACGAATTTATTAATTCTCAAGTATATTGAAACTTGAAATTCAAATTAGAAACTAAATAAAATGCCAACCCAGTGCACGAGGCTCCCGCCAATGCAGGGTTTGGGGAGGGTCAAATGTACGCAGCCTTACCCACGCATGTGGAGAGGCTGTTTCTGTTATTCGCCCCCATGACCTCGAGTTGACAATGTAGCAGCCTTACCGATGCACCAAGGCTCACTCTCGAATTAGATCCTAAATAATGTACAGAATTTTAAAAGTTATCTAGGATTCAAGGAGTGTGTTAAGCAATGGAGCGGTGTGTTGCTCGTACTCCATCTACCAATCAAATTTGGTGCTCCACTAAAAAGAACGTAGATTCCTCATCTTCTCATTTTTTATCATGATGATAACTAGTGGCCTTTACTTTGTGTATCATGGAATCCCATGTATCATACACCAAGTGAAGACAAGGATAATCTATATCGGCCCTCCTAATCATATCATAAATTGGCTTTGTAAAGGTAAGTATGTAATCAATCTCATCCCACCAATAATCATTTAATATTTTTGCCTTGACAAATATGACCTTTCCAACATCTTCTTCCCTATAAGAAAACTAACGTTCACCAATGACCATGTTTTGGAAACCTCACTTAAAATCTTTTAAGCACCACAATAGCCAAAGCAAAATGTGTCTGCAACAATAAGCATCTTCAACTTCACATGGTCATTAAATATTGCCAATCTTATGGGAATGATTCAATATAAATTTTTTAATAACCACACAATCTCTGACATAAGTTGTAATCCAATGACATTCTTGATAAACAACTTCATTGGCTTTGGTATTTTTGGGTGCACAAATGTTTTTCAAAGCAAGGTTGAGGGTATGCATCACACAAGGAGTCCAAACCTTGTTTGGAAATTGGGTCTCAATAAACAATCAAGTATTACTATAAATGGGAGCATTGGCGGTTAACTTGGAGCACATTATCGGATCCAACCACTTGAATGGTCTCTTTGATCAAGTTGGATATGAAAAATTTATCCTTCTATTCACCTTGGCAATTTGGAAACATAGGATTCATGTAGCCGCTCCAAGTAATTGGGAAAAGGATTGGTGGTTGTTGTTATATTCACTGGCAATTTATCGCTTTCAAGAACGTAGGTTCACTTTCCCGCACAGCCAAAAAATTGATGATTGTCAGCATCCTTCTCCTTCTTTAACAAATCCTGTGTCTGTATTTTTTACTTTTTTATTTCTTCTTCTCATCACAAACCCCCTTTTCTTCCTCTACAAATTCTCATTTTTATTACAACAAAGCCTAATTTCTCAACAAAATCCATTGTCATAGTTTCTTTGTTTATTTCTATCTTTAATTAATTCTCTCTCCTAGCATAATCTTCTTCCTTTTTTTTTTTCTTGAACAGTGCTCTAATCTTTTGGAAGGGGTTTAGAAATTATACTCCAGCCTACTCTTTGTGTGTGTGTGGGTGTGTGTGCAACTTTTATATTATGTTAGTTCTGGGTTTTGATTATAACAAAATTTAGTATAAGGGTTTAGAAATTCTACTTCAGCCAATTCTCTCCTTTTCTCATTTACTTAAAAGAAATATTGTTATAGCTCATTAGTTACCATGATATGTGCTTTGTGTCTGTACCCGTGCTTCTTAGTCGAGGATATTCAAAGAGATGTAACTTTTTCTCTCAGATTGAAACAATTACTTTTACTTTTACTTTATTTATTATTTTAGTATTATATATTGCATTTTTTTTTTTTCCAATCTGTTCACTGGATTCTGAATTATTCCTCTTCTAGTTTGAGAAGAAAGTTGGTGAGAGCTTTCTTTGTTACTGTTACTGCTTTATGGAGTATTTGGTGTGAAAGGAATAGAAAAATTCATGAAGATTCAAGAAGGAATGCTGAGGACATTGCTTCTTCTGTTTGTTTGGAGATTCTATCTTTATTTGGTTTTTTGCTTTGTATGATCTGCAGATTTTATTGTAAATGGGGATTTGATTCACCTGTTTAAAAATCATTAGTGTTTCACTTTTATATCTTGCCCTTTTGTGGGCTTTTGTTTTGTTTGAGGGTTTCCCTCACACTCTTTTGTATTCATTGTATATTTTTTTGTAATAAGAACACATTCAGGGGAAAAAAAATATTTTGGAGTTTGGACTCATTCTCCATAGTGTTATATTCTTTGAAGATATTTTTGGGAAATATGAATTCTTGTTTGTCATCATTTGTAGTTTGTAAAGCTTGCCTGTACAGGTGATTTCGCCTTAATATCGGTTGTGGCTTTAGTGGTTTATATCTCTTTCATGTTAATAATTGATATCTTTATATTGGTATATTTACATGTGATAATTATTATCCTTGGGAAGTTGAAACTTAAAATTACTTACTTTTCTGCTAGTCAATGTCTAAAATAAACTTTCATTTTCAGAGTGTTGGCTTGCTGTTAGCCATCTTGGAAAGTGAGCAGAAAGTGATTGATGCTCTTCTACCAACATTGATGAAGTTGGGTCTTCCAAATCTTCTGTTCAATCTCTTGGCCTTTGAGATGAGCAAATTAAAAGAAGAAAGAATAACTGAAAGGTATGAGTTTGTTTTGTTGGTAATAAAGGGCTCAAACTTCTAGTTCATAGGAGCTTGGGTAATTTGGGTGCCAATGATGCCCTTGTCATGTCTTTTTTTTTTTTTTTTTTTTTGTTGGATATATGGTGTTATTACTGCCTCTCTTTTGCCTCTGATGTTTGTTAGGTTGGTTTTGTGTGTGTGTCCGCTTATTTAATTATTTATTATCTAACTATTTTTTAATTCTGTGGTGTTTGATTATTTTTTTTTTTTTTTGAGAGAGGGAGAGGGGGGGTGGGGGTTTATAACCTGACACGGTTTTTTGTTTTTGGGAGGTCATATGATGACACTTCTGGCATACATGGCTTTTTATTTCCATTGACCTTCCCTAGAAATGGCGGCAAATTTATGACGTTGATTTCCTTTTTTATAATATAACTGCAACAGATAGAAGCCACATGCAGTTATAGTTCATATACACAGACGCCCATGCGTGCGCACGCGCACACCAAATGGAATCAACATCTCCATTTCTCCATATCTCTTTGTCATTGTAATGCAAGCTTTTAGCAGATTGACGAGGAGGGCTGAGGTGGTGGGGTACATTAGAGGATTCAGGGTGGGTAGGGCACTCCTAACTAGTCAAAGGTCACTCACCTCCTTTTTTGCAGACGATGCCATTGTTTCTTATGAGACGGTAGAGGATTAGTTGAGCTATATAGGTGTGTGCTGGTGCGTTTTCAAGTTATCTTTGGGTTGAGGATCAATATCGATTATGGGGTTTCATCAATTAAATTGGAACGATGTTATTATTATTATTATTATTATTATTTGATAAGTAATATTGTATTGGAAGAAAGAATGTGATCAAACAGGGATTGAATCCCACAAAAACTACACAAGGCCAAATAGTGCCCCTAAACTCTCAACGACACCCAACTAAGGACAGAGAACTTCAGCGCCCCAACAGGAGTCTCCTCTCCCTCAAAGGATCTCCTATTCCATTGTAGTCATAAATACCACCATACACATAAGGGTGCAATCCTCCAAAAGTCACGAGCTTGGGCATCCACTGTACACCCTCTCCAAGCCTCTGTCAAGCCTCTTGAGGAACAAGGCATAACCCACTGCATCCCGAACAGACCCAGCAATATACTCCAACAATCTCAGGCCACTGCTGATGCAGAGGAAGAAGAAGAGACAGAGGGAGAAGAAGAATAGAGGATGATGTAGCTGTGGACCCAGCTGAAAGTTTCCTTTTTCGGGTGTTCCCAATGTTATAGGAAACTAGAAAGTTTTGATTTGTTTCTAAAATAAATCTCTTCAACTAAAGTTCCAAACCCTAGCATTTACAAGGCTTTATATAAACCTTAGATAAGCTAACTACCAAATATAAATAAAAATCAAAAATAAAGAAAAGTTGCTGAAAATTGTAAAGTTGCTGAAAAATTAGTATTTAATCAAAACTTTCTATAAATTTCTGGTTCTCCTTGCCCTTCTGATGCAAATCATTAAGGGTACTTTAGTCAGGATTGAGGCAGTCAATGGTGCCTTGGAAATGTCCAGTCAAAGTCTATTTAGTAGTAATTATAGTATAGGAAATCTAAAACTGTTCTGAAGAAAGGCAGAAGTTGTCATTAAAGCTTTGTGGGCATTTTGAAAGTCATACTAGGGAAAGCAAGTGTCATTAATAGTGGTCTTATAAAAAGGGCAGACCTCTTTATCTGTTGTAATCAAGTCTTATCAATATATTTTGAGTTATTATCAGTTATAAACAATTCTTCAGGCTGTTTCCCAGATTTTCCTTTAGAAATCTAGGCTCCAACGGTGATTGTAAGAATAATTCTTTCTTTTTCTGTTTACTTCAAGTCGTATCAGAGCCTTTCCTCTTAGATCTGTGATTTGCGGATCTATGGCTGGGCAAGGAAACAACCAAGTGGGCAATACAGAAACATCTCAAGTACTAAATGCTGGTAATGTGGCTACAAAAGAAGATTTGGGGAACCTCCACCAGCAACTTTCTCTACTGAGCACTATGTTAGAACAATATGGAATCATTACTCCTCTAAATCTGGACATTGGGAGATGAGGGCAGTGAATGGATGCATATCAAAGTGAAAATTGGGTAAGACAGCCTGCTGCAGAGAGATTAAATGCCGTATGCAGTCTAGAAGTCTAAAGCAGAGTGCTGCCAGATCACAACGCACATGGACATCAATGGTGAACCATGCCCAAGATTCTGAATTTTGGTCCTACACGTGAGGATTCAAGACTCAAATTTGCCGAGTGTCCAATAATTTTAGACAATTTTGTGATCAATGCAAAACAACTCATCGTTGAGGAAGATGTTGGAAATTGTGTTGATTTTGTGGATGTCACTCCAACTTGGGATGAACTTACTGGATGGACGGATGAAGAAGGTGAGACACTGGAGGAAATCTCAACTTCCTCACTTCCAGAATTTGACAAGAGACAGTTAAGGCAGAAGAGGAAAAGTCTGAAGAAGCATCCGAGAACTTGTCAGAAACTGAGGAAGCTATAATTATTAAGTTTGTATATCATGGATTTGAGGTGAAAAAGTGGGAACCATTGAAGAAATTGAAGCAAATATATTAGGCTGATTCCCAAGTTGTAGGAATTTCAGAGCTTATGTTTGTCAACAAACAAATAGGTGGAACATTTGAAGATAAGACCATTGCATTTCCAACGGTAACCGGTGCATTAGACAGTAGAACAGATGGAGTTTACTTGGATAATTTGGTTAAAAATGAATCTTCTTTCTTCTTGGAGCTGAGAGATCATGAATTTCATACTTGTGATCTGTGACGCAGGACAATTAGTAACTTATAGTAACTAGAAAGAAAGAAGGGGATGAGAATGAGAAGATAAGATGAGGCTAGACGAAGGAGGTGAGAAGACAGAAGAATAGGGATGAGAATCAGATTGAAGCAGGTAGGATAGATAGACGGAGGGATTAAGAACAGCAAGAACAAGAGGAAGAAGAGACACAAAGGGAGTTCGCAAACTCAACGATAATATTCAATTTCTCAAAAACTGAATTCTCATATTACAAAGGAGACTTTATATAGGCAAAATAATAACAAAACCCTAGATAATAAAATCCTAAAATATCCTCAAAATTAAAACATTACTAAAAATAACCATAAGCATAAATAAAACCCCAATATACTAAATCCCCTTGTTCTATCTTTCTTTTCCCCTTTTCCAAAAGTAGAGCTTGAACATGTGCGACTCATCATCCATGAAAACCATTATAGCTCGTTCCCCATCAATTCTCCTCGGCTGAAAAGAACTCTTCCCGGAAGAGTAAAGTGAAAAGTACTGCTCGAAATAGCTCGGTTCAACACGGCAAGACTCTTCTGTAATCCATGAAACATCTGAAGATGGAAAATACATCCATTGCGACTCACTCTGACCGTCAAAAACATCCTTAATTGAATTTAAATGCCATAGTTGACATGAAAGGAGGACAAGTACTGCTGCTGAAGAAAGTGTAATTCCACCTGTAAAACCACAAACTAACAACTCAAGAGGCTCAAAGGTACCTTGGTTAGGCATCAAATACTCCACATGAAAAATTGGACTAATACTATTATCCGATATCAAGTAAAATAAATATGCATAAGGTCCATAATTGGGAGTGATGTAGAGATATCGAATGATTTGGGCTTGCAAAGTCTCAAAGGAGTTATAAGGTTGTGGTGATGCACAAATAAAAACAAAATCTCCTATAATGAACGTCTGATTCCTAATATGAGCATATGCAATAAATTCATAATTTTTATTACTCAAAATAATTTGTCATCTTATATCGGGGTGAAGCTCATGGACATACCTGACAAAGGAATCGGAGATTTTAAATGAACAAGGATGTGGAGGTAACAAAATAAAGTCAATGGGATGGCAAAGGAAAATTGGAGGTATAATCCCAAAATAACAACTTCCTGCAGACCAATTGACCAAGCTATTATATGCAAACTCCACAACAGAGAACGAAAAATCTGAAGTGTTTAAGGGCACTCTTACAAGATAACTAACCAACTTTCCTATACCATGATTAACAAGCTCAAATTTTCTGTCAGGACAAAATGCCAAGGAAAATTTCAAATTAGTGCCCAAAGATGCCCAAAGTGTTTTCCAAAAATAGTCTGCATACTTAACGTCCCTACCTGAAACAATAGAAGTGTGTGAGTCATGAATTCTAACATCCTCTACACGATTATCTAGAATGGGATGAATCGGATGATGTGGGACATTAGATTCAGGTGGTTGACATTTAAACATATTTTCAAATGGAACCTGAAAAACTTCTTTTGCCATTTTGCTTGTTAACATGAGTTCATCAACACAAGGCTGAGGAGAGGGCCTATATTGTGCCTTAGAGTCCCTTTCTAATGGCTTTGCGGGATTTAACTTGATATTTTTGCCATTATAATTGAAGGTATACGTATTCTCTCTACAACAGTGATTCACATTTAAATCACCTATCCATGGGCGACCAAGAAGTACATGGGTAAGACATCACACCAAATCATGCCAGAGTAGTCACCCATTTGAATTGGAACTAAGCACCTCTCAGAAACAATAAAGGAAGTTTCTTCTACCCAGGCCACCCTATATGGCTGTGGATGAGGTTCAGGTTGAAGCTTCATTCTATCAACCCCTGAATTTGACACTACATTTATTGAACCAAATCATGCCAGAGTAGTCACCCATTTGAATTGGAACTAAGCACCTTTCAGAAACAATAAAGGAAGTTTCTTCTACCCAGGCCACTCTATATGGCTGTGGATGAGGTTCAGGTTGAAGCTTCATTCTATCAACCCCTGTATTTGACACTACATTTATTGAACTTCCTTTATCATTGATGATTTTACAAACTTTATCTCCGCATTGGAGACGTGTATGGAATAGATGGGTGCATCTCCAATCATCTTTCTGTAAGAGAACTGATGCAATGCATGTCAAGACATTGTAATAGGTCTCATGTTCTTTCCAAT